GGCAGCGTTATGCAAATCTTCCCACATAGTGAGGTAGATATGTGGGGGCGTGTTAGAACGAGCCGTTTTAGGTAGGTGTGGCTGACTCTTAACTTTTATAAAGAATATCTCTTTGAGACTTTGCAACTGGCAACTGTACAGATCTTCTTTATGCACCAAGAGCTTGTAACACTCCAAAGAGAAAGGAAAAACCCCTTTATGACCCCTTTAAGACTGGTTTTGTGCTCCAGGGTCACATATATTATATAGCACTTTTGAAGTTTGCATGAAACAGAATTCATGACCAGCTTCACTTCAGTATTCTGACGTATTTCTGATGGAATGGAATACTGAATGAGAACAAATAGAGACAGGGCTTATTTTTAATACACCTACTCAAAATTTCTAACTTGAAGCAGGCTGGCAGTTAGAGAGGTCTGGTTAAAAGATGTTCTTCCCAAACAGTCAAACTGAAATCATCAGAGAAGGAAAGTCATTCCAAGGGGATGCAAATTTTCTGATCTTGATTAAAGACTGATTTTTTCCTGCTGTAGAGTAACTTGCACAGATGAATTGTTCACCGCAAGACGAGTAATCTGCACTTACAAAGTAAATAAGGTCAATTTTGATTTCATGCTTTAAAGGAAAAGATCACACAAAAAAGAAAATGTGCTGAACATTTCCTCACCCTCAGGCCATTCTTTGTTTCTTTATTGGAACACATTTTGAGAAATGTAGCATTACATCACTTGCTCAGATCCTCTGCAGTGAATGGGTGCCGTCAGAATGAGAGTCCAAACAGCTGATGACAACATCACAATAGTCTAAACAATGTTTTTAACTGTTGTTTCTGGCTAAAACATGAGTCCTCTATCCATAAAATTGCTTTCTCCAGTGAAAAAGTAATCTTGGTTAGAGAGGTCTGGTTAAAAGATGTTCTTCCCAAACAGTCAAACTGAAATCATCAGAGAAGGAAAGTCATTCCAAGGGGATGCAAATTTTCTGATCTTGATTAAAGACTGATTTTTTCCTGCTGTAGAGTAACTTGCACAGATGAATTGTTCACCGCAAGACGAGTAATCTGCACTTACAAAGTAAATAAGGTCAATTTTGATTTCATGCTTTAAAGGAAAAGATCACACAAAAAAGAAAATGTGCTGAACATTTCCTCACCCTCAGGCCATTCTTTGTTTCTTTATTGGAACACATTTTGAGAAATGTAGCATTACATCACTTGCTCAGATCCTCTGCAGTGAATGGGTGCCGTCAGAATGAGAGTCCAAACAGCTGATGACAACATCACAATAGTCTAAACAATGTTTTTAACTGTTGTTTCTGGCTAAAACATGAGTCCTCTATCCATAAAATTGCTTTCTCCAGTGAAAAAGTAATCTTGTCTGAATCAGGAGAGAAATATGCAGAGATCAAGCACCGTTTACAAATTAAAACAGTCCAGAAATCCCTAAACAAATATGTTGGTGGATTCTGATGTGAGAGACAACAGTACATGGACTTTTTCACTGGAGGAATCGTTATTATATATTATGGAACCATATTTTGGTGAGAAGTGACAGTTTGAAGTTAAAACGCGTCAATGATGGATTTGTTTCTTACAAACACACAGCTTTTTGCTTCACAAGATGTTAATTGATGGACTGGTGTGGTGTGGATTACTTGTATTATGATGTTGTCATCAGCTGTTTGGACTCTCATTCTGACGGCACCCATTCACTGCAGAGGATCCGTTAATGAGTAAGTGTTGTAATGCTACATTTCTCCTCATCTCTAAATTTCAAGCTGCATTTTAGATGGCCTGAGGGTGAGCACAAGTTCAGCTCTCCTTTCCTTTTGAATCTCAAGCGGTGAGTTGTGAGGCCGGTAGTCTGCTGGAGGAATGACTGACGTTATGAGGTATGAGCTCATCTTCTGTTGTTCACAGGAACAGACGAGGAGACCATCATTTCCATTCTAGCGAACCGCTCTGCAGCCCAGCGGGTGGAGATTAAACAAGCCTACTTTGAAAAATATGACGACGTGAGTCACATCTCTGAAATCATTCAGCTAATTGACAAATCCAACTTGCAAGTACATAATCAATCATAATCAATAAAAAATATAGTTTTCCCAAATATAAGAACAAACACTCTATTCTCATATATGACGTAAGCCATAGACCAAATGGTTTCTAATTTTCCTCTCCACCACATTATATTGATTTAGACTGCATTAGGTAACTGGTGTAAAGTTTCTACTATTAGCTTTCGCCCTTTTAATAATTGTGTAGCGCTCATGGAAAGCTGGAAGGAATTGTATTGAACCATTAATGTTCTTTACGTAACATCTCTACATCAACTAAAATGCTAAATATTAGTGTTATAACAAATTTACACACAAAATCCTTGGGATGAAAGCTATAATGATCATTCATTGATAGGTTAATAATATACAGTGAATCAACATACTGTACGTCTATTTGAGCCATTTTTTTTTGTCCTCTCGGTCTGTGGTCACATTGTCAAGGAGTTGGAGGAAGTCTTGAAGAATGAACTCACAGGAAACTTTGAGAAAGCAACTATGGCCACACTGGACCCGCCTCACATCTTCATGGCTAAAGAGCTGAGGAGAGCCATGAAGGGTGCTGGGACAGACGAGGACGTGCTGGTGGAGATCCTCTGCACCAGCACCAATCAGGTTATTCCTTATTAGATTTGGAGAATAGTCACTGACTATTACTATTATAGCATCAAACACAGCTCAAAAGGAATCATTACCTGATTGCATATCCCTCCTGATAAACGGCACTTTTGTATATTTAATTAAAAATTATATTATATTATATTATATTATATTATATTATATTATATTATATTTAGTGCTGTCAAACGATTAATCGCGATTAATCGCATCCTGTGTACATTAATTATGTATATATAAAGACAAACACATGCATGTGTATATTTAAGAAAAATATGTTATGTTTATATATCAAAGAATATACAATTATATATATTATATAAGAATATAAATATATAAATGTATATACATGTAAATATTTTTTTAAATATATACACAGCACACATAAATATATTATGTAAACAAAAATGTTTATTTTGGATGCGATTAATCGCGATTAATAATTTGACAGCACTAATTATATTATATTTACTATATTATATTATACAATCAACTCCCTAAAGAGCTGCTAAATACAAATAAAAGGAAATTTGAAAATACATAATAGGGACTCCGAAATCTGTGGTATGTTTTGTGTTTTGGTATTGGGATGTTTTGGGCTTGTTTTTATTGGTCATTGGTCTGGTTTTGGGATGCATTTGATTGGCTTTTTGATCATCTTTGTCAAACAAACCTGGCAACCCCTGTGTTATGAATGACTAGCCTACTTATTGTTGGTTTTCCACAGGCAGGTGAAGGCCGCTTTGGAACAGACGAGTCCACTTTCACCTACATCCTCACTCACAGGAACTACCTACAGCTCCAGGCCACCTTCAAGATATATGAAACTGTATGGTCAAACGCCAGCTATACCCACCGCTGCTTTACAGGAGCCTTTTCAGCATTCTTTCTGAGTTTCTGGTTTCTCTTTTGTGTTTTTCCATAGCTCTCTGGAACAGATATCCTGGATGCGATAGACAGTGAGGCTACAGGAACATTAAAGGACTGTTACATTACTCTGGGTAACTATAACTATTCAAAAGCCTTTAGGAAATTCGTTCTTTTGAATCAGAGTCATATTGCAGTGACTGTAAGCGCCTAAAAGGATACAGCAGGACTGATATTCGATAGCCACGCAGATCATAAAGTGATTTGTTTTTGTTCGAACAGTGCGATGTGCTAAAAACCCGCAGCTGTATTTCGCCCGTCGTCTGAACGCTGCCATGAAAGGAGCCGGGACAGACGAGGACACGCTCATACGTATTATTGTGGGACGCTCTGAGGTAGAGATTATTATGGCCTTGATATCATGAAAGTACTAGAAGGAAAAATTATATAGTATTTTCCACTTTCACGTTCACTTCCAGGTGGATTTGGAGACCATCAAAGACATGTACTTGGAGAAATATGACGTGACCCTGAAGGATGCCCTGAGCTCAGAGTGCGGCGGTGGTTTCAAGCGCCTCCTCATAGAAATACTTCACTGAGCCACCGTCAGGTGGAGCCAATAACTAACCCTACTGATGAAAGAAAGTTCTGAAAAACACTGCCTATAAAAACACATACACAATCACTTAGGATCACCTCTTACTGTACAAGAGAACACATGTTAGCTCATTTTGTCATGAGTGCAATTAGGACAGTACTTAATTATGGGTTGAATCATCTCACAACGTTGCCATAACACATAAAGGTGCTCCATTTGACAGTTTTTGTAGTGCATTAACTCACTACACACGTGCCTTGACAAAGTCATGAGTAACAGCTCAGTACTTCATCATCCATTTCTTTTTCAGGACAGATCATGGAACACGAAGGGTGATCCTTTATTTAATACTCTGTCTGTTCACACAGGATCTTTGTATGTTTTCACATCTATAGACCAAATATGTCGATGTATGGCTGATGCTGATATTAAAGGGGTCATATGATGCGCAGCCTGGGGTCGTCACATGTGGTTGCCGCAGGCATCACAATATGGTAAGGGACGTAACATTTCCGTCACACTCTTGAGGAATTCGGCCAATCATAACGCACTGGATAGCTGGCCAATCAGAGCACACCTCGCTTTTCAGACCGATGAGCTTTGTAAAAATCGACGCGTTTCAGAAAGGCGGGGCATAGAGGAGAAACAATAATGTACAGTATGTGGAAAATAATGTGTTTTTTTAACCTTAAACCGCATAAACACATTTCATTACACCAAATACACCAAATAATGTTCTTTTTAGCAGCATCATATGACCCCTTTAAAAGTTTCTTGCTGAAGAGCTAAGGTGGTTAGTGCGTCAGGCTTTGATAATGCTTTGTAACACTAGGCATTTATTTTACGGTTGTGGCTGTTAATATTGTAAAGCAGCGCTGTGAACTTATTATTGCAATGCTTCAAAATATATGTCTGTTTTTGGAGATCATGTGAAAAGGACTGAGAAGAAATTGATTAATAATATCAAGTTAGAGAGCAATATCCCACTAGTGGTCAAAGAATATTGAGTGCACATTATGAATAAAGCATGTTAAATTAGATTAAACACACCCCTGTTGTGGATTCTTTTTTTTAGAGACTTAGAAAATAATAATCATTTTGTTTCTTCTTGCTATACCTGAAGACAAGGGACTGCAAAAGATTGCACTGGGGCCAGTAAACATATATACAAATATGCAGATTTTTTTTTTTTTAAATAATTAAAGACTGTAGTAAAAATTATATATGAACATATATCACAATATATTTGAACGCTTGTTAATGAAAATGAATTAATGATTGTTAAATAAAATTTAAATAGTACTGAGAAAATGTAACTCTTTTCATATTGAGAGTTTGGCTGGAAGATCTCTGGGAAAATATTCATGCACACTTTGTTTCTTTTCTCTGAAAGAAGATGAAGTGAAGTCCACATAACATATATCACAACTGACTTTCAAAAAAACAAAACACTGAAACATTTTCCAAATATCTTCTTTTGTAAAAAATTATTTTCATTTTTAGATGAAGCATTTCTTTAAAAGACTCTACTCTAGGTACATCAAAATCATATGATATTCGAATAATTTATCAATCTATTCTCACTTACAGGCTGAGGACAGTTCACCAAACCCTTAGTGTAAACCTAAGGAATCTTAACACTTTAAGCTCCCCCAATGAAACCTAAACATTTCCAGATGTTTTACTTCAAGTCAATACATGCTTCAACACAGCAGTAGTATTATCACATCCTCTAACACTGAACACCTGTACCATCACTTCACCAGACATTTAACCCTTGCACTCAGAGAAGGCCACAAGGTTCACGTCAGATGTCCTGACAGAGCGCATGTAATGCGTTAGATTTTACATTATACACTATATTAGTAACATTTTACACATTATTCAAAATTGGGTAGGAATGAAGATTATCGTAGCTAAGCTAATTAATTTAAATTTGCATGTCTGATTTTCTAAATCGATGGGATCTGAACAAGCAATGGTTAAATCAGATATTAACCATCTATTTCTTTTCTTAAACACTGATTGATTTCCATCTGTGTGAAGTTTTAGAGCGGGCTGTATGGTGAGGGCCGTCTGTGAGCACTGACCTGACCCTGTTAAAGTAGCCATAATTCAGTGTTTCATGTTGGCCCTTTGAAGGGTTCAGTCTATCACACTCTTCTCCTTATGGAATAACTTTAAATCAACGTCATCTCCTGCTCCCAGTAAAGCTTTTAATATTAACCAAATGTCTTGGAAAACCGCAAGTCTGTGTACATGCTTCCTAAGATTATAAACCTATTTTCAGTTCAAGTTTAGCTTCAGGATATGCTTTCAGCTATGGTCTTTTTATAGAAACATTAAGGATGCATTTGATTTGGTGTTCCTGTTACCTGTAATAAATGAAATGTCATAATTTCTGCTTTAAGAATAACAACACGCATATGTAACGGTGGCCAGAGGGCTACTTTTATTCTGTTTTATATAAAACCTGCATATTAAAGAGCACAATCAAAGCCATCTGGTTCTTTGTGCCACAAACACCTGCATTTGATTCCTGCTGCTACATTTGGAAAATGTTTACTACCTTTTTTCTGCTTTTGTTGTGCAAGGATCTGGATTGACATTTGAAAAAAGTCTTGAAACTAAATCCTGCAAAGATGTAATAAATGGTTATAACAGTAAATCAAAGTTTTGTGACTGATTATAAACTTCTATTGGAAACTGAATGAAAAACAGCAACATACGGCTACCACTGAATGTTTTATTCAAAGATACAGGCAAGATACAAAACATGCTGTACGACATATCCTCACTTATGAGGACAACAAAGCAAATAATGAATGAAATACATTTAGATAATGAAGTTTTATGAAGTGCAAATATAATGAAAGGAAAACTGCTGAATAGAACAGGTAGATGCAATTATTTTAACAACATTAAACCATACAAAGACCTATTACACAAAGATTTGTAAGCAAAAAAAGAATAAATGTTAATTTTTATAATATTTTCACAAATTATTCCTCAGCAAAGTTTTTAAAAAGCATACTTGATGACACTTAAACCAGAAATTTACTCTGAAACAAGCTACTAATTGGTCAAATCAATTGCATATAAATAAAAACATCATCTAAAAGTAGCTTCCCTGTTGAAAAAGCAGCATATGCTGGTTAGGTATGTTTTGATGCATGGCAGCTGGTTTGAGCTGGTTTAAGCTGGTCTTGAGCTGGTACTAAGCAACTAGCTCCTGCTCATAACCAGCTTATAACCAGCTCAGGGTTTCAACAGGGTTGACGTCATGCTAGCAGATTGCTACGATTATGAATGCTATGATTATGCAACTGTCCAGAGGATAGACATGCTACTTCCAGCATCATGGGCAATTTGGTTGATGCGCCCTCTGACGCAGTCCACCGTAGCGAAGACCACAGTGCCATTACGCACCTGGAACGATACCCTCAGCCCCACACTTGCCCATACGCTTCCTTCTGGCATGTGTCCACCAATCTGTTGAGCTACAGGAGCTGGCTGAACCCCCTGAGACCCGCTCTGTTGGAGCAAGGTGAGTTTGATTAGACTGCATGAGTGGATAAGCCGCAGATCTAAAGCCACACTTGCCGTCCCTGCTTCCTGAAAGATGAAGTCTCTGTGATCTTTGGTTCCAGCTAGTGCAACTTGTGGAACCGCTGGACTTGTCTGATGGAAGAACAAGGCTTTATTCCGCACTGCGCCAGAGGGAAGACCTTTCCTGGACACAGAGGCCGACAAGGCAGTGGACACGGCTGAAGGGATCCACACCAGACTGAGCATGCTAATCCCAGAGTCGTCACCGAAGTAGCGCACATTACACTGTGCGGGTGCAAGGATCTCAAAGGTGAGCATATCCCCAGAATCCACAGTGGTGGCTGCTGAGAGAGAAATAGATGTGTCTCTGTAGTGAACGCCGGGCTTGAATGCACGGGTCAGCTCAGCGCTGCTTCCGTTGTGGTTCACGTATGCAAGCAAGTAGAATCCCTCAGAGATACAGGCTTGACCCATCGAGTACAATGCTTGCTGGAGGACAAACTTCACAGTGCCACTTTCTCTGAAGCGCACCCCTCGGTTATCATGGGTCAAGCCAACCATGTAGGGGTCGGAGACTGATGATGTACGGAAGGCAGGACGGTAGTTGGTATGGTAATGCGCAGAAGCAACGGCCTGTGCAGTCATTGCAACCGCACCTGTATCATGGGACAACCAGAGCAAGCTGAAAGGTGAGATTAGGCTGCTCTGAAGGTGCACGTCTTCACTGTCTTGGCTACACTGGTTGGTGGCGCTCTTGAGAGTAAGGTAGAGTACATGACCTGGCTCCACAGAAGTTGCTCCACTCACACTGGCGCTCTGGAGAGATTTGCCCTCCCGCTGCTCCAAACGCATCCCACTCAGATCCCGACCTTCATCTTCACTGGCGTTCAGTCGTAAACACGCTTGAATGAAGCTGCGGCAGCCGTGTTTTAAAGCAAGGTTATGGTCAACCCAAACAAGCCCATGCTGGTGGAGTACTATCCAACCATCAGTGCAGGAAAGAAGGCTTCCGTCACTGTTACCACGGATGTGAAGTTGCTTTTCAGGAAACGCAGTACCCTTGGCTAGGTCAACGTTTCCAGACCAAGAAAGCGAGAGTTTGCTTTCGGAGGGGTTGGCACACACGGCATCATTCAAGGCTGAACATGGGGATGTCATTGGCTGAGAATCACATTCTGTACAGGCTTGACACTCCTCCATCTCAGAATTGTAAAAATAAGAGTGCCCACACATCCTGGCGGCTGCTTCCCTCTCCGACATGCCGGAGCAGCGAAATCCCCCTGAAACAATGCACTATGCTTAGAAAGTAATTCTTTTAGAAAGTAAATCTCTTAGAAAGTAAATCTTAAAGGGGACATCAGATACCCATTTTCCACAAGTTGGTATAATTCTTTAGGGCAGGGTCCTGCAGAGGACCTTCGGTCCTGGAGGGCCGGTGTCCTGCAGAGTTTAGCTCCAACTTGCCTCAACACACCTGAATGGAAGTTTCTAGTATGCCTATAAGAGCTTGATTAGCTGGTTCAGGTGTGTTTAATTAGGGTTGGAGCTAAACTCTGCAGGACACTGGCCCTCCAGGACCGTGTTTGGACACCCATGCTTTAGGGTCTTCATGAAATGGTTAAGATTCCTCAATGGTCTTGCAAAACAACACCCTTTTTTTACCCTGTCAAAAACAGCTCTGTTCACAGTGAGCCATTTCGGTGCATGTCTCTTTAAATGCTAATGAGCTACTGCTCACCCCATCCCCTCTCTTCTGTTTTTGTGTAATCAGTGATGCATTACCATAAAAACAAAACTAATCCACTGCATCCTTAGAGACTCTGATGTCGGGAGAAAATGAAGACTCTTATGTTCACTTTTACATACAAATACAAAACACCTG